CTCTCTCTCTCTCTCTCTCTCCCAGTCTCCCGGACATGGACCTGCAATTTTATCGGGTGGCGGCCGGGACGGGTCCGGGGGGCCAGGGAAAAAAACCCTCGCCCACGCCTGCTCCTACATGTCGTTCTGAAGGCCTTAGGACCGTGGCCTTGGCAGTTCGGCTGGTGCGGGCGTGCGCGCGCGCGCGCGCGCGCGGGGACGCGGGGGCGCGAGCTCCCCCCCTTTGCCGAGGGGTGCCGTGGACAATCGGGCGCCAGCTTCGTCCCGGCCCTGCCGCGCCCTCGCCCAATGATCGACCCTGCTCGGGTGTTGTGTGCATTGTGTGTGGGAATGTTTCCCCCATGCTGTACCCGGCTCCGCTGGCCGGCAATTGGGCTACCGAGGGTGGCCCGCCGTTGAGGCCACGGTTCTGGGGCTGCAGATCCCAATAGTAGCGCCAGCGCAGACCCGCGCCCGTGGCGCCCCCCCTCCCGCCTTTGCGTCCAGATGCGGGCACACGCTTGGACACACCGCCCCGCCTGTCTCCCGTCCCCCCCGCCCCCGCCCCCGCCCCCGGCCCCGGCCCCGGCCCCGGCCCCGGCCCCGGCCCCGCCTCTCCCCGGCGGCCCTGTGCTGCGGCGGCGGACAAACATGCGGCTGCACGCGGCGGGCCGGTTACCAGACCGAACTCCCAACTTCCCGCGCTGCGCCCGCAGCCCAGCTTCCAACGCCCCCGCCCCCCGCTTCGCGCCCTCTCCGCGCGCCGATTCGCCACAACCGGCGCACACGTCCTGCCAGGCCTGCGCGTCCTGGCCCCGGAAGGGCGCCCGCAGGGGCTAGATGTGCTGCTGCCTTGTCCATCCCGCCTCCCCCCCCCGCCAGTCTCCGTCCATGGCGTCTGCGTGCGAAGGGGCGGCGCCAAACTCAGGGCCCATCCTCTCCCTCCCTCTCCGGCAGCGCTAGTCCCCCGTTTGACAGATGAGAGGAATGTTGTAGAACCCGGGTCTCTCGGGCTCGGCCCGCCCGTTGCCGGGA